TTGACGACGACGAACTCCACCTCGAGCTGGGCTCTATGGAGCCCGTCGCCGAAGATCACCGGGAGGGTTATTACCCCCTCGGAATCAATGGTGTCGCTGGTGAAGCCGGCAAGAGGGGTCTTAATGGGCCGAAGGGACCCCCTCTCCAGATGCAGCTCTCTGAAGGTGCTGAGGTACATTACATTGACGGAGCTGCCCGTGTCAACGTAAGTTCGGTGAATGATGGTGTCGTTGATCTCCGTTCGAATCACCAAGGCATCCCGGTGAGGAGAAGAAGTAGGAGGGAGATCTGCGTTGGTGAAGGTGATGGGTTCCTCCCTCAATCGCTTTACCGGGGGCATATGAGTGACTTCCCCTACGTAAAGCGATTGAGCCCACTTCTTTCGCTGGCTGGTGGAATCGCCCCCTGTGTTGCCACCGGTGATCATGAGGATGTGGCGTTTTTTCTCCTGGTAGTGGGGGTATTCCTCCTCCTCTTCTTCCAAGTTTCCAATCTCCCTTTTCTTGCCGAGGGGGATGGTATTCGGGTTTACCCAAGCGTTTACCTTCGTGTGATGCCCTCGGGGAGGCCCCTGATGAGAAGGTCCCTCATGCCGAGGGCTCTGGACAAATTGGGACAGGTGCCCCGCTTGTATTAATCTCTCGATGGCCGTCTTCAGTTGATGGAAGTCATCGGTCCTGTGCCCCTGGTGCCGATGGAAGCGACAGTAGGGGAACTGAGGGTTGATAGCGTGTACCTCCGGGGGTGCGCGAGAATCGCGTTCAACGAGGCCCCTCTCCTCTGCAAAATCGAGGATGATGCTGACAGGGTGCGTCAATGGGGTCCGAGGGCGGTCCAGGAGAATGGGCTGGGCCCAAGTCTTAGGGTTGCTCCTATAACCTCCCCCGGGCTTGGCTTGGCCTTGCCGAGGGAGATCATCAGAGGGTCCCGAAGCCTTGGGGCGATTTGGAGGAGCCCCCGGCCCTCGGTTGTGCTTGTTGTCAGCCCTCGGGGGCTGCTGGTCCGGATGCTGGTGATACTTCTCCACCTCCTCGGCCTCAGCATATCTGTCCCCCCGCTGCAAGGCCCTTATGTAGTCGCGGGGGGGGGGGGGGGTTCAATGATGAGGCTCCTTGAAAAGTTGCCGGTGCGGAGGACGGTTTGTAGGAGGGCCAGGAGGGTCCCGTCATCAGCACCGTCGACCTTGTCGGCCTCCGTCCTCCAGCGCTCCAGGAAATCCCGAAGGGTCTCATCCTTCTTCTGGCGTATCGTTAGGAGGTGGGAGAAGTGCTTCCTTGTGCGACGCCTCCCGGCAAATTGTGTTAAGAACCGCTGGGCGAGTTCTTGCCATGAATCAATACAGCCCTCGGGCAGCCTGTTGAACCATTCGTATGCTGGTCCCTCTAAGGTGGAGAGGAACCAACGACACAAATATTTGTCTGACGCCCCCACCGTCATCATGTTGTTCTGGTACTTGCTGTAATGCTCCTGGGGGTCCGTTTTTCCGCTGTAGGGCTGTATGTGTTGCCCTCGGTATTTCTCCGGGATCCGGGCCGCCAATACCCTTGGGGTAAATGGCGTCCGAGTCCGGAGCTGGATGACGGGTTCCCCGGAGCCCTCGGCCACCTTCTTCTGTAGTTCCTCCATTTTGGCCATCATGGCCTCGTATTTGAGGTCTGAGTGAGGGGTGGAGGTGGTGGCGTGAGCTTTGTTGGACTCCATCTCGTCAAGCCGGCGTTGGAGTGCCGCAATGATTTCGTCCCGGGGGTCCCTCGGGAGGGTCTCCGCCCCCTGCGAACGAACCCGGGCCGAGTGGGCCTGGTTGATTTGGTGCCGAGCATCATCGGCATGAAGGGGTGCCTTGCCTTTGTCCCGAGGGGGACGCTCCTCGTCTGCCCTCGAAACAGATCCCCCGCTTTCCTGGGGCTTTTGGAGTGCTTTCCCCCCGAGGCGGTCTTGGACCCCTCGGCGGTCTGGCCCTCCTCCGAGCCGGTTGAGGGCGGAAGTGCGGGGCCTCTCCCTGTTGTCATTATGGCGGTCCCGGGACTGAACTTCCTGGGAGGATGTTTCTTGGGCCACCACCCCCTCGTCGTTTCTCACCCGAGGGGTGGGATTTCCGAAGGGGTGTGGCAGAGGGGGAAGTATGATATTTTCCCCGATCTGAGGGTGAGCTGGAGCCAGGGTGCCGAAGGCACCCGGGTTCTGGGTGAGCGTTTGGATGAAGGCGGAGAGCGCTGATTGTACGTCGATGGTGAGAACCGGAGGGCTGACTTGGTCATCGCTCCGGTTTTTCTTCTTGGCCTCGATGCCGAGGCGGGCATCGGGGGCGTTTTGTTGGATCTGAAGGCGTAGGTCGACAGCCGCCTGTTCCAGCCCAGCGAGGACACCGCCCTCGGGAGCCCTGTGAGAGGCTTCGGGGGCGTTGACGTCACCGAGGGGCAGGTTCCTGTCTTCTACGTTCTTTGAGTTGGCACGTGTTGTCCTCACCATTTTGATAGAGGGCTAGTGTTTGTGTTTGGTCGAGGGGGAGGGTTTCTCACTTGATTGTTCAAGCTCTCAACGAGAGCACCAAATGATGGATAGTCTACCCGGGGGTATATATCCGAAGGGTTATTGCGGGGAGTAACTTAGATAGAAGTCAGAGCAAGTAAATATATAGAGAGAGAGTGTATTATAAATGTGGAGCGTTTTCAGCGTGGTTACAAATGGGGAAATGGGGTGCTATTTATAGTAGCAATAAATGCCGGGCAGGGACACGTGTCAAGCGCTCATTGGCCGAGGGGTCACCTCAACTGGTTGGCGCTGACAGCCGCATGTGGCCGCATTTAATGCAGCTGTTGGATGGGACGTCTGTGCGGGGTACGGTGATCTGTACGCATGTGAGGCAGATATCTTGTCGAGTGAGGTGCCTTCGGCCGTAGAGCAGTAACCGAGGGCTCTCCCACCCGATGGCACCCTGGTGCCGAGGGCTCACAGTGCCGAGGGCTACTGTTTTCGCCGTTTTCTCCCAGTTTCCTAATTTGCTTGAGAAACCCGCTCTGTGATAATTTGGAGCCTTCGGCCAGGGGGCCGAAGGCACCCCTGTGCGTTGTGCGGGCTGCTCGGTACTCTGGGCGCTGTGATTTGGGCCTGTTGGGCCTTTTGGGCCTGTTGGGCCTTCACTGGAGTAGTAGGAGTCTGTGGGCCGGGGGTTCCCGGGCCATATACTCCATCAGTTGTGGCAGTCGTAGTCAACCCGACGTGCCGTGTATTTTGACGACAATGTGGGTGGTGGTGGCACCATCCTCTGTTGTGCCGCAGTGGGATGGGAAGTTCCCGCCTGTTGTGCCAGGGGCACAACGCCCATAGGTGCTCCAGAAGTCACCTGACGAATGGGGGGGAGTTGATCCCTGAGGTGGCCCTCTGGCGAGGGGGAGATTGATAGACCATCAATGTTGGTCTCTCCACAACCAGAGGAGCATCAATAGTGCCCACCCTCAAAGACTGGGATCTGGAATTCGCCGGTGATATGGGCCTGGTGGCGTGAGGAGCCACATTCATTGCTGCCTGGGATCGCAGCGTAGGAAGCACCTGCTGCAATCCTGAGATGAGGGCGCCAACCGCCGTAGAGGGATCCACCATCAGAAGACTCTGGAATTGTGGGATCACCTGTGCGGACGGCATTACTGCTGCATCGCAATTCAGTGAGATCTGTTGACGGAGATCTGGGGAAGTGCGCTGGGTCTGGCTACGCAGATCAGCGGAAGCCTCAGCGACTTGCTTCCCCCTAGTGGCCCTCATGGCGCCAGAAGTAGCAGTAGCTTCTAGTGAGGGCTCAACTTGAGCGACGGCGACAGCAGCACGTCGATTCCTCATGATTCTCTTTCCAACCATTATCAAGGAAGAGAAGTTACTGTAGATCTAGGAGAAAGTGAGAGGATCTAACCTGATTCACAGTTCAGCTCTCAACGAGAGCACCAAAAAATGATGGATCGCCGAACTAGGGATAGTCAGAATCCAAGTAAAATGAGAGAGAGAACTGATCGGAAAGTACATGTATATAATCCGGCAGAGTAATAATATGAGAATTCAGAATGCGATCCCTTTCCACAAGCTGTAAGGTGATATTTATACTAATAGAAAAAGGCAATACTTGGTGCCCAAGTAAAAAGATGTTGATCTAATGAGAGGAGGACATGTGTCCAATATATTCTAACAAACTAACAGTCTAAATTAATAGGGAGCAGCCACGTGTAAAGTTGATTGGAGAGATAGTCTTGAACTGCTGGCTGATTGGAACTGCTCCTAACAGAATTGCTACTAGAATACTCGAGTGGCTACGCGTGGGCAACCGGGAATATTTCCTGGAGCTAGGAGTGACGTGGCAACGTCTCTTCATGATGCTGGTCCTTGCGGATTTGTCTAAGTCCATAAGGCTTTGATCTGACCTCGAGCCCATTGAGGTCAGTGTTTGGAGACTCGGGCTCATCGTGAGGGAATTCGCCTTCTGTCTCAGGTCCTGTCTTCGTGATCGTTGACTCTGTTGCTTGACTCTGGTTGTCCTTGTGCTGACGCCTGAGGTCAGGACTGATGCCGAGCTCGGAGCCTTCGAGGTCGGACTCATAATTTATGGAGTTTGGATGATCCCCGAGCCTGGTGTTTTCCCGACCTCAGGGGGTCGGGGTTGGGCTCAGCTGGCCTCATTATTTGCTAAGTCTGATTGATTCCTGAGCTTGGTACGTATTTCCCTGACCTAGGCGGTCGGGGTAAGGGTCGATCCCAAATGTGGACTTAGTATTTTCATCCATCAATTTTCCTTTTAGTTTAAAGGAAAATGATAAGAATCGAAGAAAAGAAAAATAAAGAAAGAAAAAACAGAGAAAAAGGCTAAAGTTGCTTCGCGAGACAAAAAAAGGAAAACCAACTTTATCGCACGGTGTAATTTGGCATGTATATGGTGCCACATCTACTCACGAATCACAATACCTCGTCTCGGCCAACCGAAAGCCGATATGACCGACTTGCAACAGCTTGAGTACTACCTCAGGCCGCCATTTTGAACGCAATATGGCGCCATTTCACTTTCCTTTCCAATGGTGACATTCCAGTAATAATAATTGTAGTAGGGTTAAGAAAGGGAAATTATTCACACATCCTATTGATTTTTGTGCGTCTTCAGTGCCGTCTACTGAGCGTGGATCCTAAAAATGGAGGTCGAAAGAGAAGTCTTGTGTCCGGAAAATAAAGAACTGGCTGCGTACATGTTGAAAAAGAGGCAAGAGATGGCGGAAGGAAAGAGAGGGATATCCGAAAATACTGATAAGACTATTATCAAGGCGCACACCAACATATGCGGCTGCAAAGCTCATATTAGAACCATGCGGGATCTTTCTCAAATCAAGTAAGATCAACCAAAGTCGAATTGATTGTTAATTTGAGATGCTTTTATCTCTCTTTATTTGTAGTGGAGAAAAGTGTGACAGTCTGACAGAACATTGTTGGAATTTGTTGTTAGGGGTGTGGGGAAGTGGATTCTGAAGTTAATGCAAGGGTTTTTTGAGACAGATTCTGACGCTATTCCAAATGAAAGTTCTGATGATAAGGGTAAGCTATTAATGTCAAGGCATCTTTCCAAATTTTGCAAATCATATGCGCAAAAAGTTCTATTTATGAGATCCTTTCGAGGATAAGTTGAGATAATGTTGTTGTTTGCATAGATATTTTATGTGGGTTTTACCTCCAAATCCGTTTCTTGTGCACTTTTTATATTTTTTTTGATAGGAAGTATGTCACCTTCGAACATTTTCAGGGAAGAAAAACAAGGGACCAAGGCGATATATGCCACAGAAGAACTCAGTGTCATATGCCTTGATAATCACTCTTTACAGGTGAAATAATTAAACCACGTTTGGACGTTATATGTTGATGTGACAGTTTTCTTCTTTTTTGATGACCATGCTTCCATAAAATAAAAAGTGTTTGAGTTGTAGGGGCATGACAGATGGAAATGGGTTTATGCGCAAACAAGAGCTGATTGATGCCGCAGAAGCAAGTGGTCTTTCTCGCGTGCCAGTTGGGTAATAATTCCTTAGTTTCTTATATTTATTTTAGTCTGTTAACTGTTTTGATATAACTGATATGATTAATTAGATGTCTTTCCAAATATTATTATTTATAAATTTTCTTAGACCAGAGAAAGGCAAAGGGAAACCTGGGATTGGAGGTTCAGCAAGAGACTGGTACAGTGGATGGAGCTGCATGAAAACTTTAATAACTAAAGGTTTAGTTGCCAAGTCTAGCTGCCCGGCCAAGTAAACCTCCTTATCCTATTGTCTGATTTCTAACATTAAAACATTGGATAGACATAACGTTGTGGACTTGTGCTAAAATGCTACACATGCATATTGCATTGATTTTTGTGTAACTATTTTCTAACATTGTCTGATTTTCTTTATCTTTTTATATTCTAATGTTCTTTTTATCTTCTAGCTTTTTCATGCTCCTTTATCTTTCTATCTTTTATCTTTCTTATGTTCTTATGTTATTGTTATCTTATATTTATTTATCTTTATTTTATCCGTTTTATCTTACTTTTTTTCGCTTCTTGTCCGTCTTCTCTATTTGGCATTGATATCATAGATCGTTTCATGTTAGCCGGCCCCGAATTCTTTTGGGATTAAGGCTTGGATGTTGTTGTTGTTGTTGTATTTTCTTCCTTAGCTCCTTAGCCGACCCCGATTCACGTTAGATCTATTTTTCGCTTTTTGTCTGCCTCATTAGATTGACTAGACAATTCTCTGTATAGTTGAGGATTAACTGTCTTTATGCTTTGGTACACACACTAGTTTCTGTTGCACATGTCAATGTGCAAGTGGCAACTGGACTAAAATGAAGAAAAAGGGCGTCTTTTTGGACTATCGAACTTAGACTATATATTGTCATATTTCATAGTGTAATATAGACATATAGTCCTTGGAACTAGCAGCCATGTAGAACATTCAGTTTGCAGGAAAATTAACTTTTTCAGCGTTACAAACTTCTCAATTACAATATTATTGCAAACCTCTCTTATTGTATTTTCATTATATATGACTCATTTAATATAATTATCATGTCGGCTGAAGCCTGATTAAACTCTCCTCCTTTGATGCCAATTGGAAATTTCTTCTCTTCAATTAACCACCTCACCCTGCAACAGAGTCATTACCGATTTTACATATAACGTACAACTGAGCAGCGAAAAGTTAATCAGCTTGTGCTCAATCATAAATCTGATGCCTGAATTTAACACTGTAGATACATTTCTGAACAAGAGCTGACATGTTTGTCATGGTATTAGACCTGTGATGTACAACTTTTTATCCTGTCAACCTCCCTAAAAATTGTTCATATTTTTTTCTCATTCCTTAATTGGGAGTGCTGCAGGTATATGCTAACAGATAAAGGAAAGGAAACTGCCCTTGAATGTCTAAAAAGATCTGGAATGGTTGCAATTGATGAAAGTCTGGTCATAATGGATGGATCTTCAAATTTGGATGGGAAGGCCATTGAAGACGTGGAATGCTCCGAGAAGGAATCGCCTGATGTGGATGTTGAAACAGAATCTTTATCCCAACAAGTAGCATCACCCCCTCTTCAATTGTGTGGGCAGAAGAAAATGATTGATATTCCACCTGCATGTCTTGACAGGGTATACCTAGTCTCCATGCTTTCAAGCTTTGTGTATCTCTAATTCTCTATCCGGTCGAATTCTTTTTAGAAACCTTTTTCTTTGCTGAGCTGCTCTATGTGGCTTCTTGACTGCGAATGGGCAAAATAATATTTCTTATTCTACTATATCATGTTTATGTGAACAAGAGAAACAAACATAAATTACATAACAGAAAATATAAAAGGTTGCTACTTATTTCATATTTTTAGATTTTACATCTGCCATACACACTTGTGATTTTAGTTGTGAAGCTATTGTCAAAATACGAAGTTCCTATTGTCTTCTTTATATTGGTTTTAGTTCTTGTATGTATTAGTAATTTGATATTAGCCATTACTTGTAGTTTGTGGGGATGGGGTATCCCAAGGAACAAATTATTCATGGGTTTTTAAAGGCTTCAGAGGCCTCACCTGGCAGGGACATATCATCACTTTGGCCGACTGTTCTTTGCCACCTTCGAGAAGATCAAATATATGGTTGGTTTATTACTTCTGTTTCTGGTTATATTATTGCTGATAAGAAAGATTTTTATTCTATTTAATACTACATCCATCCCGTTGGAAGGTTCCCATAGCAAAATGGCACGGTTATTTAGACAATAATTAAATAAAGTACTTCGAGTATATTTTGAGAAATAATTTTAATAGGTATACATTATAATGTAGTCGGTATTGATAACTTTGATGTTATAAATGCATTGTTGTTAATATTTAATGATTAATTAGTCACTTAAGATTGTTAATTGTTTCCTAAAACGGAAATGAGATCCTTTATATGGGACGTCCCAAAAAAAGTGGGAACTTTCCAATGGGACGGAGGGAGTAGTAAATACTAGTGGAATTGATATAAAGCTCTAGTTTAATGTCATTTTCCTATTGACGTCTGATGAGCAGGCCTAAGTTCTAGTATAGTTGATGACAAAGTAGTCCAGTCTTCATTTGGAGGATCATCTGATGATCCACAGTCTTCTGCATTTCCTGGTTTCATGCAGAACTCACCTTCATTGAAATCCTTCCAATCAACTGTATGTTTTTAGTCAATTTTATTTAATTATAGATCTGTCTGTAAAGTCAGCTATTCCGTGTGTCACCCATATACAAACAATATTTTATCTTTGTAATTATTAATTTTGCACTTAGATAGCTAGCTGAAATGATTCTTGTGTTGGTGGGACTGTGGGTTCTAAAGAACTGCATACCTCCCATAGACATGGGTTTTAATTGAGGATGACACTAAACATCAGTGAAACAAAATATGTTCAATGAGAATAAAGCGCAAAATATTGATGATCTAACTATACCAGATTGTATGGTAAATTACAATTTTATGAGGACCCAAATGACAGAAGTTAAAATGCTCTTAGAAACATGGGTGAAAGAAGATTTAGAGAAACAACAAAATGTCAGCTAGTTGGCAGAAGAGTACTCTTACACCATTATTTAAAAATAAGGGTGATTTACAATAGCGCCCAACTATTAAGGGATTAAGCTTATGAGTCACACCATGAAACTTTGGTGTGAGTGGTTGAGCAAAGGCTCCGAAGAAGTGTGAAGATTTCAGAGAATCAATTCAATTTTATGTTTGGTCGCTCAATAACTGAGACCATTCACCTTCTAGGCAACTTGTGGAGAAGTATATGGACACTTTCAAAGATCTGCATTTGGTGTTCATTGACTTCGAAATAGCGTATGATAGAGTACCTAGAGAAGTCTTTTGGTGGGCCTTAACTAGAAAAAGCATATCACGTAAATATGTGCACATCATCATCAATATGTATGAAAATTATACTACAAGTACCTGTACTAGTGTAGGAAGGACTACAAAATTCCCTATTACTACCAGAGTGCACCATATTTCCATCATTTGCAATGGAGCCAAAGACGCTATTTTTTGGCTTGAGAATATGATGGAATAAAGCAAAATTGCTCACTAAACTGTATCCGCTTCTTTGTTATGAAGCATCAATTAGTCCAAGCAATTTTGATGTGATTTTCACTATGGGTCATCCAGAAACACTCTCTCTATGCTTTAGTATAGGGGTAAGACTGCGTACACACCCCCTTCCCCACCGTAGGTGGGAGCCTTTGCGGCACTGAGGTGATGATGATGAGATCAGAGTGCACCATGGGTCAGCTCCGGGTGCTTTCTTATTTGTTATAGTCATGGATAAACTCATAAATTTAATTCAAGAAGATATATTGCGGTGCAAATGTTTGCTGACAATATTCAAGAAGATGTACCGTGGGTCACCCGGAAATAGTCTCTCTGTGCTTTTGAATATTTTTACTTGGACTGTTTTCAATCCTAGACCAGACCAAACTTAAAAAGACCAGACCAGACTAGACTTCCATAGTTATAAAATACACAGAGAGCAGACATTTACCAGACCAAACCGGACCAACAAATTTCAGTCCAAGTAAACACATCCTTAGTACAGGTGTAAGACTACGTACATCCGACCCCCCTTTACCTCACCGTAGGTAGGAGCCTTCACGGCACAAGAATTAACTTTCTACCTTTGAAGTGAATAGACAGATCTACACCTCTACCACAAAAAAACGTAATGGGGTTGGTCGGTCACCCCAATTCCTAAAAACATTAAATGATTTCAGTGAATATTTTTTGTTTGTTTTTGCTTTTGCTCTTAATTCTGTTACTTTCTTGATCCTTTTGAGTTTAACATTGAGTTTTTCATGTTCACTACCATCAGGCATACAATTTTTATTACACGCCTTTAGGTTTGATTATTTTTTCATTTGGTATTTGGTATTGTAGGCCGTCTCCGTGAGCAGTAATGGCAGAGAATTCTCAGAAACTAAATCTAGTATCTTATCAATGCCTCCTCTGATGGACAGAGAGAGGTTTGAAGATGTTTATGAAGTGGTTTTGATATTGGATGATCGAGAGCAATTTGTTAATCAAGGGTGAGTTTTTCTCTCAACTACCGCTCTGTTTTAAATTGAATGTTGAGGTTAGTTATTTCATTTTGATTTGGGGCATACTCTCTTGCTATACACAAATCTATAATATTTTCGGTTTAAATATGGTTTTAGTCCCTTCAAATATGACACACTTTGTTTTAGGTACTTGCAAAATATTTTCTTTGTTTTTCATCCATGTAATATGCGTTATTTTGGTTTTAGTCCATCACTAATTCCGAAACAACTCTACTTGATTTTTTTAATTGTCGGTTGCATAAATGTACTAGAAACATTTAAATTTATCATTTTATAATTTTTTTGAGGCTAATATGAGAGTTAAAATAATATTAAAACTAATTATTTGCATTTTTAAAATATGTATTAAAAACGTTTTAAAAAATGAAATTAAATACTTTTTGAAGGACATAACAAAGAATTAAAGGATACCTATTAGTCGGGATTGTTTCGTTGTCAAACGGAGGTTGTTATCATTACTCATGGACTAAAAAGAAAACCAACGTAAATTCCAGGGATGAAAAACAAAGAAAATATTTTGAAAGGACCTAAAACAAATTGTGCTATATATGCACTTTGCAGGGACTAAAAACATATTTAAACCAATATTTTCTTATGTTATTGATGCGTCACATAACTAATAAAAAACCACTTAGGAGTACAAGACTATTTGTCCCTAAACAAGTAGAATTTGCATGCCGTCAAGATGTAGTTCTTGCTTAGGGGTACTTATGGAGCTCCTAAAATGTAGAAACAATCTTTCTCAACAGTGCTTTTGTGCCTTCTCTTGTAACATTTTCTTACTAAAGAAAATGAAAAACAATGGCTGTACTTATTTTAAGCCAAAACTCAAATTGGTTGAACTTTGAAGATGTTTTGCAACCATCTTCCATTCTTCTCTACTAATTACCTGTTTCTTAGAGTGATTCCTCTCTATATTACTCAAAGGTTTCATGTGACATTTGAGACTTGTCAGTTTTCAAGATGGTGTTTTCCAAATCTATAACGTTTTGCAATCGCATGATTCACATTACTAATTTCAGGCCGCGTCCCAGGAAAATTGTTGAGAACATCAGAGTGCAATTTAAAATTCAAATTGAGGCGAGTCTTAATTCTTAACGTTTTATGTGATCTCTCTTGTAGTTGTGTTACATGTTTATGGTATCCTTACTTAGGTACATGCCTAACAAAAATTAGTATGTTTGATCATCTCCTAGACATTGTCTGTAGATATTGTACAATATATTCCTATGATAGCATAATCCTTAAATACCCCACAGTATATTTTCAATATATTTGACGTATATGCTTAATGTCCCATGTCAGACAACTAAACGATGGAAAACGGTTTGTATAGATCATGGGTTGATCTAATTGATTTGTGGTCAAATATTTATTATCTTTTAGTGTGAATTGTCCCCAGTAAAGATATGTAATCTGTCTCATTCCATTCCATCTTTTAAAACCAAAAAGCTCAACTCCCTCACTTACAATAGGTTAGACGGTTACCTGTTGGGGATGCGATCTGGATAGCTCGGCGAAAAAATACTGGCGATGAATATGTTCTTGATTTTATAGTGGAAAGGAAGAATGTTGATGACTTACGCTGTTCAATCAGGGATAATCGATATAAAGACCAGAAGTTGCGGCTTTTGGTATGGGTTTCCCTAATCGTCCTTCTTCGTGTTAACTGGATATTTTTCCGTTCTTGATATTTTGATTGGTTTTTGAACATAGGAAACAAAAATAATTATCTCTTTCTATCTCAGTGCTGCATTGGGCATAACCACTTTGCTACTGTTCTTTAATTCTACATCAACTATAGAGAACAATCTTACCATCCATTTTTTGGCATTTTGTTACTCTATGCAAGAGATGTGGGCTAAAAAAGAGGATATATGTGGTCGAAGGAGATGCAAATTTATCAGAAGCCGCTGAAAGTATTAAAACAGCGTAAGTTTTTTTTCCTGACTATAAGAATGGCAAGCTATGAAAACTTCACTGAGGTTGAGAGCGAAACCAAGTTCTAAAACTAACCATCTTGTCCCTTCAAAGAAGAAAAAATATTGAGAGGAAATAAAATATTTGTTTGTCAGAAAATCTTATTACTCTGAACTTAGAATGAGTATAGAATTGCTTTATAAAGATGGATTCAAGATGTTTCTGAGATTTTCTTTACGCATCAGTATCATATCATCTGCAATTGGTAATTAACCATTTACACTGCTCTAGCAAGCCAGTTATTTTATTTTATTTTATTTTATTTGTTTATTGAAAATTCTTGCTCACAATTTGACATCGTAATGTGACTATTGGTCAAACCTTTTATGAGTCCACATTTTAAAATCTACATTCCAAAATTTGCTTCAAAATTACAGTACTAAATTGTCCAAGTCTTTTTTGCTTAGGCTATTTGTTAGTTTAATCTATTTGTCAATCCCAGTTTTCATTCTAGAAATATAAAAGATTTACACTAGGTAGCCTTAGAACTTGTAGGCTTGCACATAGTTTAGATTGGTTGTTTCTATTTCAAAATTGCAAATGAAAAGAAATTTGAAGACTTTGATTTTCTTATATAGTTATATTCATTTTTTATGATTGGCAGTTGTTTTACGACTGAGATCTTAGAGGGATTTGATGTACAAAGAACATCTAGCTTGGGAGAGACACTAAGGAAATATGGCTACCTTACTCAAGCAATTTATAATTACTATAATTCAATGGACTATGAGCATAAAAGTCCTGAGATGTGCCCTCTCTTTAGTTCATTCATTAGGAGGTGTGAAGATTTGGAAAAAATGACCGCTAGCGATGTTTTTGCCATCCAACTCATGCAGGTATGTATTACGTTGGCACAAGTTTGATAAGATTTCGACCAGTTTTCGAAAACATGATCTCTTATTTACTCCATGTGATTTAAACTGGTAAAGTTAAGGTATTTCTTCCCCTAGTTACAGGAAGCTATGAGTATTATGTTAGACATGAGAGGAAACCATATATCTTGTCAATGCATATAGAGTATGTATAAAGAAAATGTACTCATACAAGTAAGGAGATACCGGTGTGTGATATGTTCCGTTACTTGGGCTGCATAATCCTGAAGGATGGTGAATTAGATGGAGATGTATGCCATAGAATCAGAGCTGAGTGGATCAAATGGAAGAGTGCATTAGGATTTCTATGCGATCGAGGTATGCCGACTAGACTGAAAGGTAAATTTTATTGAACAACAATTAAGCCTGCATTAATGTAGTGTGTTGGGCGGTGAAGCAATGCCACATTCAAAAGATGAATGTGGTAGAGATGCATATGTTGCGTTGGATGTGTGTACATACCAGAAAAGACCGCTTGAGAAACGAGATAATTAGACAAAAGGTGCGAGTAACAACTATAGAAGATAAGATGCAGGAGTCTCGTTTGCGATGGTTTGGGCATGTGCGTAGAAGACCCATTGATGCACCTGTTAGACGACTTGAGAGGTGGGGAGAAGAGGCAGAGAAGAGAGGGAAGGGAAGGCCCAAACAGACTTGGATTAAAGGAATCAGAACTGATATGCGTCTTCTTGGGTTGGATGAGAGTATGACTTTGGAGAGAGCAAAGTGGAGGACGCGCATCCGTGTGGACGATTGATGTCTTTTCTATCATTCATCTCTCTTTTCTTTTATCGTTTATCTTCTTTATCTTTTTATATTCTTATGTTATACTACGTATTTATCTTCTAGCTTTTTTATACTCTTTTATTTTTTTATCTTTTATCTTTCTTATATTCTTATGTTATTGTAATCTTAAATTTATTTTTCTTTATTTTATCCGTTTTATCTTACTTTTTCCCAGGGACGAATACAGGATTTCGAGTTAAGGGGGGCGAACATTTTTCGTTAGTGTAGGGGTGAATTTTTTTTTGCTAGCGTAGCGGAGCGAAATTTTTTCGCCTGTGTAGGGCTCTACGGCTTTTTTTTAACAAAAAAAAAAATCCATTAATACATACCAGTACATGATTACATCTAAATCTATTACTCCATCCGTCCCAAATTGTTTTGCAAAGTCAAAATTTTTTGGTCAACCAATAATAAAAGTCAATGCTTCGTATCGATAATTAATTTAATTTTTGATAATTAAAATTTACATATTTAGAAACTATATTAAAATCTCTTCAAAGTTGCAAATCCCAAATTAGAATATAAATAAAAATTGACATCCTAATTAAGCCAATAAAGAGAAACTGTTTGACCAAGAAAAGTCAAATTTGCAAATCAATTTGGGACGGAGGTAGTACTTTCTAAGTTTTTTTTTGGAAAATATTACATTCTAAGTTTAGACAATGGAAAAATAACTTTGATACATTCTAAGTCTAGAAAAAAGTATTGATACATTAAAGTGTAAGAAATGACAAATCAAAGGGAAATTATTTGAAAATGAAAAAGGATATATAATATTTTATCAAATTATTTGAATATAAAAAGTTTAAAGGGTATACATCCACTAATACTTTTTAAATATATAACGTTTGCTTTGTTTAATCACATGAATCTTATAGGAATAAATGATTGATTTTTGAGTTGCAATTTTTGTCTACCAAGGAGGGTGTTCGTGAGTCACAATGTTAGAGACCCGGTAGAATAAGGGTAAATAAGAAGAGTAATAGACTAATAACGATAATAGTATAAATAGAAGGGGAGTGGGTAATAAAGGTAGGCTGTTAGAAATATGCTTTAAGTCAGAACTGGGAAGATAGAGTTGTAGCTCTATGCTTTTGGGGGCTTCGGCCATTGTAGCTCAGTTGATATCAATAAAGTTTGTGCAGTTCCTTTTGAATTGTTCTGTGAAATTGCTGTGATTACTGGTATCTCTTACAGTGGTATCAGAGCACGTCGACCTCTGGATGAGATATATGCATGCTAAGATGGAAGAGCGTATGAGGGAACTGGAGAGAAACATGATGGATATGGCCAGAAAGCAGAGAGAAGCGACAGTGAGGCAAGATAATATGGAAACGATGATGGCCGCTATGCAAGTGAGTATCGCTGATATTCAGAATCGACTTCCAGGTCGTTCGAGAAGCAGATCGCATAAGTCGGACTCTTCGCATCATTCTTCGCATCGCAAGTTGTTCCCTAGTTCGCATACTGAGTCGCGAACTGTTCACTCTGGTTCGCATGCGGAAAAGGCTTCTTTTAGTTCGCATACTGAGTCGCGAACTGTTTCTTCTGTTTCGCACTCACAAAAGGCTTCGCGCGGAAAAATGGGGAAGATCGCGGAAAAGGTGGAGCACGGAAGTTCGCAGACTGAATCGCGACCTTCTTATATTGGTTCGAAATCGCGAACTATTACTTTTAGTTCACAATCACGAACGGTTTTGCTCAGTTCACAGACATCGTCGCTAAGCGAGCAGGGTCAGTCTCAATCGCAAGATACTTCTTCCGATCCTCTGGCTTCGCCTCGAGCCGAAAACCCCAGTTCGAAATCTCTATCCGAGTCCCCAGAGTCGCAGCAGGAGTTGGTTAATCAGCAACACACCTATGGCGAAGAGGAACACAATAAGAAATCTTCAGTTAATCTTGGACCTGAAGCTGGAGCAACTTTTCGTTCTCTCACCGGTAACAACCCCTCCAACTTGAATAACAGCAGCAATGATTGGAGTTCGTTTAGAGAAAGCGAACTTTCTTCTTCTGACAGGCAAGGATGGAACCAAGAAATTATGGCTGTTGTTCTCGGTAATGCAGGAGCTGAAATTGTATTTCCAATCACGAAGTGTTACTTGGTTCCTGTGTTGCTTCATACCAGCAAAGATTATGACATTTTAAGGACAGCCTGGGTTTTTCCACTCTCTGTTTCAAGAAATCAGGTGAAGATGGACTCTCCTTTTGAGGAACGAGCAATGGCATTCAGATTTTGGTGGAGTCTTTCTATGGGAGTTGTTTGGTGGAATGATGTTGGATGTATTCAAAGTGCGGCAGAGGATGGCATTATTTCGCTGAAAAGTGTCATGGCGGTCAATCATAACTCAATGGGAGAAAAGTCAAGGGGAGTTCAAGCAATTTTTAGTTCAAGAATTTCTGATGAGCAGATTAAAGTGGCTGAGAAAAGTTAAGGGCATGAACACCAATTCTGCTATTGGTGCAAGTGATATACCATATGAAAGCATGAAAACCTTTGTGGCTATTGAAGGCCTGAAGACTAAGGAAGAAAATGAAACTTCATCGGAAATACTATATGCTGCAGAAACATCTGTGAGTTGGAAAGATCAAGTACTTAAGCTCCTCGCTCAGAAATCAGTGAGGTATTGGGAAGGTAATAGCCCCAGGATGAAGAGGAAGAAGAAGATCATGGATGCTTCCTATCATCCACCTCGAGGACAAGGTGGTTGTTTAGGGGGGGAGATATGTTAGAGACCCGGTAGAATAAGGGTAAATAAGAAGAGTATTAGACTAATAGTGATAATAGTATAAATAGAAGGGGAGTGGGTAATAAAGGGAGGCTGTTTTAGACTTTGTCTTAGACTGGGAAGTTAGAGCTCTGTCACTTTCTTTGGGGGCTTCGGCCATAGATTCTTGTTCTTCATCAATAAAGTGTGCTATTGTTTCTTGACATCTTTTTGTATTATTCTGTAATTCTGGACATCTCTTACACACAAGAAATTTTCTTAATATTACAATAGTGTGTATGAGATTATTCTTTTTAGAATAATACTCCCTCCGTCCCGGAATTATCTTCATTCTTTCCTTTTCGGTCCGTCCCAAATTTCTCCTTTTTCCCTTTTTGGTAAAGAATATGTGGTTCACAACCATTCTTACACATTTATCTCTCCTCTGCATAACTCTCCACCACACAAATCCCACTATCTTAAAACCCGTGCCCGGTCAAAACCGGAGTTAAATATGGGACGGAGGGAGTATTATATTGCAGATTCATATATATAGTGCATATTATATTTGTATTAATGCTAAAATAAGTTAAAGTTTATTATTTATGCAATAAAGTGTTTTTAGAAAGTAAGATGTAAATCCTAAATTGATTGTGTAATTTAATGTTAAGTGTCATCGATAAACATTTATATTTTGGACTCAATTCACATGATTTAAAAAATGTTTAACTATTGTGTATTTGTGTCTCATAATTAAACATTACAAAACTAGAAATTTTTATATAATAAGTATACTAAGATTTGAACAATGAGTTGTTCTATTGTTTATTTGATTAAGTTATGCAAATTATTTTAGATTCTATAAAATTTTGAAAACTAAAAGTTAAGGGGGGCGAACACATATATATCTAATTAAAGCATAAAAATTTTAATAAAATATTACATATATAATAGAAAATTTTGAAAGTCCAAGGGGGGCGTTTGCCCCCCGCGCCCCCTTAAATCCATCCCTGCTTTTTCCCCCTTCTTGTCTATCTTTTCTGTTTGGCATCGATATCATAGATCGATTCATGTTAGCCGACCCCAACTACTTTTGGGATTAAGGCTTGGATGCTGTTGTTGTAAGTTCATAATACAAGATGGGCTCAGCAAGCTAGAGCACCTACAACTACAACAATACCTTATTCTTGATAACTAGAGTAACTGAGTAATGTTTTGAGAATAGCATCTCTTTACATGTGGCCATGAGCATGTGCATGAAATAAAAGGGATTGAGTTATTTCCACCAAATGGTGTAGTTTATGTTTTACTGTTTCATTTTATTGAGGTAAGCTGTTGTTATATGCCTGGGATTGGGATCACATCACAGGTCAATGCGAAGGATGAGGTTGAATGGTTTTCATTGGAGTATTAATGGTGGAAGTGTGTGAGTAATGTACTGTAAACATGTCCAAAATTCAGGAGATGTCACTTCTCCAATAATTCCCTCTAAGTGTAGGCAATTCTCTGATAGCTATCATTTATTCAATCCTCTCTTAAGTAGACAATGAATCGGTTACCACTTATGGACTTGCCAGATCCTAAAATATAAAAAGTACAATGCATGTACTTCAGGAAATGCTGAAACTTCATCAGCAGTCCATATATCTTGGCTCTCCCCATGTAGCACGGGTACATGGAAATACCCATTTACAAATATGATGGTACGGAATCTCAGAAAGTATAGGAGGCAGGCACACAGGTTTTTTGTAAGCTCTTAAAATTATGAGAACTTACTTACAGATGTTGGTTTCGTGCGAAGGAAAATAAGTATAAATTAAGTTACTCTCTCCGTACCATTTTGGTTGTCTTACTTTCCTTGGGTTGTCCCAAAATGAATGTCATGTTTTCTTTTTTGGCAAGAAATATGTGGTCCATATTATTTCATTTTAGTCTACTCAAATCTCAACCACGACGTTCACTTTTCAAGTACTTTATTAATATTGTGCCACACTAAAACAAGACATCTAATATGGGACAGAGATAGTATTAATTAATATTAAATTCTAATGTACACAAAATAGTGTATAATTCTGACAAAATGAAAGACATTAATCTATTCATTACTGCTTGGTTTGCTCTTGAAGTTTGATCATGTATAAATTTTAAAGTATTCAAACGTGCAATAAATCTGTAAGCGTGTAACTAACCATCAATAAGATGCTTTATGTTTTAGTTTTTTTTATGCTTGATACACATAATGAGTGTATTCGAGTGAAAAATAAATATTTAAAAATGTATTCACCTTTATTAAATTGCGGTTTGACTTTGTTGGACGTAATGGCCGAAGTTCACGTAATTACAATTGTGCCTAAAGCATAGTTTTTCATTTATTTCTTCCTGCTTTCATTGAACCCTTAGATTTTCAATTTAATTCACCATCTTCATTGTCATTTTTCTACATAAGGAACCCTCATATATTTACAAACACACAAATTGTCACACATAACAACAAGCATTTATACAAGTGCAGAATACAAGTTGAGCTACACAAGTAGTCTCCAGCTAAATAGGATAACATCATGATTAGGATTACAACAATATTCAACATGTTATAGTGTAGCCTTTTGGTTATTGTTGGAGTACAAACTTTAATGTGACTGCTTCTGTAGCTGCCTCCCAAATATAATCTTGTTTTTAACACTAACTAGTGATTTAGTTTTCAATGCTAAGAAGTAAAATCACCATTACAATCAAGACTCTTTCTGAGCTTGTTATACTTCTCTTTTGTAATGAGGGGGTAATACTATTACTTGTTCAGAGGAAATCTTTTCCCCTTTTAATCAATAGCATTACCGGTGCAGGTTGGACACGTAACAGAAGAGGTTGCATGCACTGTTCTGGATATGTATCCAACTTTGTTTTCACTTGCACGAGCGTATTCTCTTCTGGTGTGCTCTTTTATTCTATTTAACTAGTTTATTCTGATCAGGGACTGTGTAATTACTATAAAGGTATATTGCACTTAAAAAACGTAGCAATGTATGCTAATGTTGTTGGAAGTTGCCTGGTCTTTGACCTGTGCTGATCTCCAGGCCATGGGGTCAATTGCTGACCTGAACAAAAATACATATATACATGTATGTGAGCTTGTGCAATTTCATTTGAAAGGAAAGTTGAATTTGAGAAACAAGAAATGTATGCAACGGCCATAGTCTGTTTTTAAGAAAATGGTAAATTGAATATCTTTTGGTGTCAGAAATCTTAAATGCTGTTGCATAAATTAGCACTCATAACACATTTCATGCCCAAATTGATGTTTTTCTCTCTTTTCTCTTTTTTCTATTATCGTTTTTTTCCTTATCTTTTTATATTCTTATGTTATTTTTATCTTCTAGTTTTTTTATGCTCTTTTATTTTTTTTATCTTTTATCTTTCTTATATTCTTGTGTTATTGTTATCTTATATTTATTTATCTTTATTTTATTCATTTTATCTTACTTCTTTTCTTCCCTTTCTTGTCCGTCTTCTCTTTTTGGCATCGATATCATAGATCGATTCATGTTAGCCGACCCCAAATTCTTTTGGGATTAAGGCTTGGATGTTGTTGTTGTTGTTGTACTTAATATCTGTGTCCATTATGATGTTCTATTTATTTTATTCTTTTCATTTGGCTCTGGTCAGGAAAGTGATGTACAAGCACAGGAGGAAATGCTCAACAAGCAGAGCAATAATTTAATCAGTGCTGCTGTTAGTAAAAATATTTTTCAATTGATTTGGGGCAGTTAATACAGCATGCATTCTGTATTTTGTCACTGTTCAGGAACGATGTGTATTTCCAACACAAGGTGTGAATATGCCATGAGCTCTATGTGGTTCTTTTTTGCACCTAACAATTTGTAGCTAGGGATTCTTTATATGAAAAATTGTAGCTCATTAGAAACAATGATTTGTTCTGGGAATATACATTTTTGGATGAATATTACGACCTTTTGTATTTCATATAGCTACAAGTTTACAATATATTTAGTTGAGATGCTATCTGTCTATTTTCTCATGGTTTTGGTGACTCGGAAGCTGTCTCTCACATATCCTGTTGCATCGACGTACTGTGAAATTCAAAAGGAAAACATTAAAGTTAATGACAAAAAGTTAATCAGGTGTATAAGTTGTCAATGTGATTCTTCTATATCCTGTAAACATCTGACCTCAAATTTCAGATCTTCTCTTGTTGCATGCAGTCTTGCATATCCATATTCAGACATTCTTACCAAGCTCCAATTAGCAGCCTGGGGATATTGATTTCAGTGTTTATTTAGGCATAGGAGATGATTGAAAAATTGGGAGCTAGGAAGGTGGTGTACTTACAGTGGTAGGGGAGGGGTCCAATGTAAAGCCAGCCATTCCGATAACCACATGAATTGGTGCAGTGTAATTTGCGTTATAATAAGTGTATGTTCCGTTTGCAAATTCAGGACTTGATTTGCATTGATTATCATAAATAGGACACACCCTCTCATAGTTATGAACATGACCCCACAATGCCAGATCAACCTGTTTCAAACTCCTGAATCTTAGTAAAGACTTTATCTACAATACATGTTATTATCCTATATATATATAATGATTTTTATGCATGCACTAACCATGTAGCGTAACAGCAGTGGCTCTATTGCATTGACAAATTCTGTATCTACGTTACTGCCCAACGATGATACGGTGGAGGAATACATGGGACGGTGCCTGTTTTATAAAAAACCATGTTAGGATTTAGGAAGGCCAATTGTCATACCACAGAAATTAAGGGTTCAATATTTAAAACCCTTGTTTACCCCATAAATATTAACCAAGGTGTTCTTGCTCGATCTATGGCACCCATGTCCTTCTCCATCCATTCATACTACATGACAAAGAAATGATTGTGTTATTTTACAATATGTCTTTTTGTTTGTTTCGGTTCTATATAATTAGGTCCAAATATGTGACTCAACCCCTAAAGGATATTCAAGAGGAGGTTTACACCTCACACATATGCATTAGACCATAAACTCAGTAACAATTGTCAACTGAAGTGACATGCCTGTTCACACACTCCATCAATTACTGAGCTGGATAACTGAAGGGGTAGATAAATGTGCCCGAAATCAATCGTAAAAGGTTGGCCCCAATCCAAATATCATGTTAAATTGGGTCAACCTCATCCTAAAAGGATCTTCAAAAAGTCAGAGTTATTTCACTCTTGTATAGTTTCCTTTTAGATGGTTGGTTGAGTAAACTTGTGGTGGAGTAAACTTTTAGTGACAACATTAAGCAATATGTTAATAATACCTGCTCTGAACTTTGGGCCCAATTGTGCTCTGTGGAAATGACAGTGAAGTGAACGGGTCCTTGCTCTATGGAATACCAGGGCTTATCCTTTTCTGATGTTGGCATGGGAAAATATGTCTCATAAGGTATTCCGCATTCCCCGCCCGAATCTAGATTTTTATAAACCGATCTTTTGTCTCTAGAACCTCTGATTCGTGGCATAGAGTAGCCAGTTACACAATGTTCGTTGCCTCAAAATAGAGACCCAAAGGAGAAGAATATGTACCTCTCATGGTTCCCAATTGCAGTCATATAAGAAATGCGTGAAGCAACTGGAGTGATGAGGTGCAGAAAGTAGTCCCACTCCACTAAGAACCCCGTGGCATAGCTTATGTCACCAATGTGGAATATGGAGTCTATATTCCCCGACAGTACCTCCCGTGCCATGGCTTCTACCACTAACAAGGATCCTGGCTGAAAGTTTGATCGGTTAGGCCGTTAGGGGATGCTTGGTGTTTTCTGGTGTTTGGATTTACATCAGAAAAAGGGAAGGAAAGTGTAGTGTGTTTTGTGTTTTTAAACTTTTTTTTTGTATATGCTTAGATTCCTAGTACTTATGTACACATGAATAAATATATATGAAACCGAACAAATAATAAAAATGGAGTCTCAACTAGTATTTTATTTTCCATATCATCTTCTTGATTTTCCTCCATATTTTCTTTCCCAAGCATTTCCCGCATTTCAAACGGACACTTCATGAATTGAATTCCAACAAGATGAATAGTGCTAGTTGTAGACATGCATGTCATACCTGGGCGTAGTGTTCTATAGATTTATCAAGAGGAGTTTTGCCCATATCACCAAATGCTAAAAATTTGACCTCATTTGATCCTCGAGCAGGAGGGGTTCTGAATGTGCTACTTTTACTCCAACCACATGAATCACTGCAATATGAATGTGATATTTGAGTGTCAAACCTGGAAAAAGAACATGCTTTGTTTTTATCTTAGTTTACCTTCCGTGCGTATAGTTATATGTGGTTAAAGGACGTAGGCCTGTCATGACAGCTGAATGAACATATCCTGGATCATGCCATCCAAAGGACACAGCTGGAGTTGTATTGGCAAGACCTAAAAAAGATCATCCAGTAAATGACTTAGCTAGGCTTGCTTGAAGAACATGAACTCTTTTGGCAATAGGAAATATGAAATGATGTGTTGGTCGAGGTAATGGACATACCGCACATCTGGTTTTGAGTAAAGGTGGTAACTAGAGATGTTTGTGCTATTCCATTACCATAGCGAAGTTGTTGAGGACTTTTATCCCCACTTACCCACGTCACTCTCATCTGCAAATGTCAAAATCATGATCTGGCTTATCTCGAGGAGGAAGAGATTTTAGAGGTTCAAGAACTCACTCAATACTATAACCAATGGAGTATTGGTTTTTAGTGCATTTAGTTGGAGTTTTAGGGTATGCTTGGATGCAAACTTCTGAAGGAGAACATAAATCGAAATAATATCACTTATGGTCTTACGAGTATTATGTCAATCCCTCATTTCATCAATGGTTTTTGCTTTACCCACTTTTGATACACGACTAATTTGGAGATATTTTTCTTACCGAGGTTGCGCTTGAATCGATGCTGGAAAGGTGAGGATACAAAGGGCTATTTGGGTTGGAGAAGGAGAATGCATCAGATCTCTTCAGGATGCATGGGGTCTTAAATCCACCAGTAAACAATACAAATTGGATTTCTGTTCTGATATTGATTACATGGAATTGTAGTGTGGCATTGTAAGTCCAAAGCAAACATTTTTTGAAAATCCAATTATGGCAATCCTTGTTGTTGTTGTTGCGGCTTAGGTAATTTGGATCACTACTCACATATTGTGCCTGCGTCCACATCCAGTTCACCACAAATCAAAATCTTCTTTAGTACAAACTACACAAGCATGCAACCGTCTTCTTTTAAATAATCTATCTATCTCTCAAGTACTATTCCAATTGGTGCAGCTTTTGTTATTTTGTCACAAAAAGAATAACTGGTTTATGAAGTCATATAATTAAGTAAGGACAGACCTATGATATTAATGATCGAGAGATCAATATTTCCCCAGTGCCGCAAAGGCTCCCACCTACGGTGGGATCAATATTTAAAAATAGCGATAAAAATTTATTTTCAATATCTTATAATAGAATGGGACATTTTAAAGTACTAGGACTTAACATTGCATGAAAAATATTTTAACATTTGCATATTAAAAATGTTCTAAAAGCTGGCATTGGTAGACCGTAGACTTAGAAGTTGTTCTGTTCATCTTATTCTTTTTACTTATCGCTTATTCTTATTTTATTCAGATCAGATCAGAAAAATTCAGATCAAATCAGGACTTAAAAGATTCAAATCAGAAACATTCAGATCAGGTGAAGATAACATCTTCTTATTGCCTCGGTGGTATCAAATTAAAGTAAGAAACATTTCATTATAAATATTTTGTTAGAAATCTCTTAAGTTCAAAAGAGGTGATCACCCCGCCGCCCTAAAATCCAGACCTACATACTACCTCCGTTCTTAAATAAGTGCAACATGTGAAATTTTACACTATTCACATATTCTACTTTGACTACATTTTATTTATTGATGTATTAATATTTTTTTTGAAAAATATATTATTAAATTTGTCTCATTGTAAATTTTCAAAAACTATTTTTTTTAATTTTTTTACTAATAGAGAATTATATATATTAATGGTCAAAGTTGTGTCTCGACAAGTGTGAAATGTTGACTGTTGTACTTATTTAAGAACGGATGAAGTATATTATATAAGGAACATACAGAGATTACTAGGTAATGTTGGCTAAATGTTAACTGAATTAAAATCAAAACTTGTTTTAGTTAAATTTGATAGATTCGTTTGCTACTAGCTATAATCTGCGTCTTTCTTTAATCAGTTTCTCTTTGGCTTGATTTAGTACGACTTAAGAAAAGGCATTACCATCCATATAAAAGATTACAGACTAAAGGGGTTGGAAAGATTAGCCTCCAAGTCGGCTTGAAATAATGCATCAGCTCTGGCATGCCCCCACCCCCATCTTGGTAGGGTTTAATTTCTAATAATATTAGTACTATCTTTTGTTCCCATACAAGGTTATGAACAATTCCTAAAAATAATTCTTTCATCCCTTATTGGTTGGTAATTATTAGTTTGACACTTTGACTTGAAATCACTGACACAGATAATGAACTCACGGTCGTGCATCAGAACTTCAGAAGTACAAAAATCATGTCTAGCAAGTCAAAACTAGCTTATAATCCTTAAACTATACAGGTTCCAAATGAAATTCACACTTTTCTATTGGGTATGTCCAAAATAAACTTCACACTTCTTCTCCCTTCATTATTTGGCAAATTATCTACATCAAAACAGTTCAAAACAGTGCAAAACAGTGCCAAATAATGTACCCTACAGTAAAGTCAAATTTGTTTCATTAATTTGTGTGAAGTCAAAGTGTGAATTTCATTTGAGACCTGAGGGAGTAATAAATGAAAATGTGATTCCCAAATCTAGAGTCACTTTGGTAATCTTTATTTCGGCTTATCATCCGATTTTTTGCATCAAACATGTAATTTTTGAATTCTATCTAAATTGTATAATAATCAAAATAAATAAGGTTTGAGTTAATTTTATGTTTGAGTTGATTGAAGTTAGTGCAAATGACCATTTAAACTATTTGTTAAATAAATTATTCTTTATTTTATTTATAAATATATTTTAAATTTAAATCTTTCATAATTCAGCAAATTCAGGCAATTCAACCAATTTAGCTAGAACTTCATCAATTTCAGCAGAATCAGCCGATTCAGTCAATTCTAGAATCTAGTGTTACCAAATGTGTTTTGTTTGTGACAAACCAAAAAAACTTTCATAGACGCGTGTAAAAGTGTGCACAACAGTTATTTGTATACAAGAAAGAATTATTATACAAACAATTCTATTTCAAACTTCAGAGGATACACCTTGAAGCTTTTTTATTATACAAAACTAAACATTTAAACCATCTTTAGGAAGATTTTTTAAAATTCTTCTCACAATAGAGCTTGTGTAAGTGCATGCATCGATGCGTATAAAAGGCTTAGCAAGAAAAACGTATCAGAGTGAGCTAATAAAAAGATTTTTTAGTTAATAAGGAGTATTTGGTAATTTTTTACATAATTATTTAAGAGAAAACTCCCAAAACAGGACTTAAAGATAGCAAATTTATCAAAAAAGGTTACACTGTTTTCTTTCCAAAATAGGATTCATGCAATCCTATATATAAACGTTTTATTCTTATATTCTTTTTACTGGGTTACATAAATCGTATTTTGAAAAGAAACCATACTTAGTCAGTTAGTCTTATTTTAGAATTTTCCCTATACTTTACTCCGATTTTTGAGATATTTCTATTTTAACTCTTAAGTCATAAAATAGAGGGGTTTACACGTTTGGTGTGGGTAGGTACCTAATATCCCCTAGCTAGGCCAGTGTTTGCGTATGCGAAAAAAAATATTGCCTATAAATGCATTTAAGCAACAAAAATCGTAAAGAGCTATACCTCACTCATTTTTGAGTAGAGACTCCCACTAAAAAATGTGTGGTGATGTTCAATGTAGGCCATGAGGAGTCACATATCGGCGCACTTATAAATTCATATAAACAGAAAATATAAAATAACATACTTGGTCCAAAAAGGTTGAATGCCCAACCCCAAGGCCCCCATCTCGACCCGACAGGATGGTGGAGAGGTTAATCACGGTGACTCAGTCAGCAAAGCGGCGGCAGACCTTATACACGTGCGCACCAGAGGTCCAATCTTATTTCAGGTTCTGTAACCTCCACACGGTCGCTGCGGGTTTCGAACCTTGGTCACTTGGACCAATTTTCCCATCACTCGACCAACTGAGCTACCCGTGCAGGTATAAAATAACGTACTTTGATACTATAAGGTGCATATATGTATATATAATTAAATACTGTGCTATATATATACTTCATTCTTTTTTAGTTGCAACACTTTCACTTTTACGTTTATCAATGCACAACTTTGACCATTTATATATATAATTTCCTAATTATAGAATTTTAAATAAAATCACATTTTGAAAATTTAAGATGAGAACAACTTAATGATATTTTTTAAAAATGATTTTTTTAATGCATTCGTGAATAAAATATAGTCAAAATGAAGCACTTACATGAATAGTGTAAAAATTGTAGTTGCCACTATTTAAGAACGAATGTAATATACTATCTCCGTCCCATAAAATAAGTCCCACTTCAATTTGGATCGGAGTTTAAGAAAGTGGAAATAAAGTGAAATGTATGGTTGTGCTTGAGTAAGAAAAAAGTAAATAAATGTTAGCCACACAAAACTTTCCAAAAAGTGAAATGAGAACAATTTTTTGGGATGGTCCAAAAAGAAAATTGAGACTTATTTTATGGGACGGAAGGAGTATATATATATATATATATATATATATATATATATATATATATATATATATATATATATATATATATATATATATATATAGTAGTGTTCCGGTCAGGAATTCCTGATCGGAATCGCCGTACAGAAGACGGTCCGGAATTCCGGACCAGAATCGCCGTTCGGACGCCGCCGTTTGGGGCTGTTACCTGTCAAATTTTTTGATGCAATTTCTTTGGCATGTTCTTCATCAGGTCTAGTTTTTCCACAAAAGAATTCGGCTAAAAACTCAATGTGGAAGGTCGTCAAATAATTTTTGAAAGTTAACTACATTTTATATGTATTTTCCGGTGCAGTTATCTTTCAAAAATCATTTGACGGCCTTCCCGATTGAATTTTTAGCTGAAATGTTTTGTGGATAAACTAGACTTTATGAAGAACATGTCATAAAAATTTATCAAAAAACTCCACCGAGAAGGGCTCCAAAATCCATCGTCCGGACGGCGGTTCCGGTCAGGAATCCTGACCAGAACACTACTCTCTCTCTCTCTCTCTCTATATATATATATATATATATATGGATTGGTTCAAATAAAAAGCGATCCCTAGGTGAAAACTAAGAACTAATCTAAGCCTTTGAATTGATAAAATGGATGGACTAGATCAAATTGTAAAGCAAAAACGCAGTGGCAATATGGTAAATATGTACAACTTTTATTGGATCCGTTAAAGTAAAAGTGCTTCGTTGTATTGAAAAAATGCAATACCAGACTGTAAAAGTGCACCGCGCTTCGAAATAAAATAAGAAGTATAAAATCGATTTGTAACTTTTTTAATGAGGTAAATGTGCACATTTGCATATCATATACTATCGTATTTACTTTTACTAGTAAGTATTGCACATTTGGATTGGTATTTAATTTTGATCTACACCATTCACTTTTAAGTGATCAAGGACTGAGATTACTTCTTACTTTTCATTGGAAGACCCCTTTTGTATTAGAACTCACCCCTATATATATGTATACACACACACACACACACACACACACATGTTCTGGTCCGGAATTCCGGACCAGAGGCGCCGTCCGGCCGACGGCTTTTGACCGTCTTCCCTGTAGAATTTTTTGATGAAATTTTTATGGAATGTTCTTCATCAAGTCTAGTTTATCCACAAAAAAAAAATCAGCTAAAAAATCAATCCGGAAGATTCTCAAATGATTTTTTGAAGTTAATTGCGTTTTATATGTATTTTTTAGCGCAGTTAACTTCAAAAAATCATTTGAGGACCTTCCGGAGAGAGTTTTTAGCTGATTGTTTTTGTGGATAAACTACACTTGTTGAAGAACATGTCATAAAAATTTCATCAAAAAATTCACCCGGTAAGGCGGTCAAAAACCGTCGGCCGGACGGCGCCTCTAGTCCAGAATTCCGGACCAGAACATTACTGAGTTTGTAGGTTAGTATTTTAAGCATGGTTTGAATTTGATCTCTTATATATATATATATATATATATATATATATATAGAAATGATCGTGTCCAACACTCTCCGTCCGAACGCCGTCTGAATGCCGTCCGAACGCTGCTGTTTGTGGTGGTTCCCGGTGGAATTTTTGGATGAAATATTTTGAGCATGTTACTCATCAAGTCTAGTTTATCCACAAAAAATTTCAGCTTGAAATTCGATCGAGAAGGTAGTCAAATAATTTTTTGAATTTGACTGCACCAAAATATACATATGATTTGACTGCCTTCCCGATTGAATTTTGAGCTGAAATGTTTTGTGGATAAACTAGACTTGATGATGAACATGATCAAAAAAATTCATCAAAAAATTTGGACGTCGTTTGGACGGTGGTGTGCTGGACAAGATATATATCTATAGATTAATGATTAAATGAGAATAATGTTTAATATGAGAACGTCTCATTTACGCCATTAGGGCATCCTTATTCATAAGATTATTTGAGGATTAAGTTGTTGATGTGGCGGATTACTCTGTGGATCATGATTGAGTGATCAAGATTATTTAGTGAGATTATTTGACAAAATAATCCGGGATTGAAATATGAATCCAGATTATCTCAAGATTATTGTGAAGGTAGTATTAAATTATTAATTACTGAGTGCAGGACCCACAAAAGATCCGGTTATTTTGAGATAATGAATGATATAATTTTGAAGGTATGAGATTATTTTGAAAAAATCTTACGTGCCAATCTATGTGTCATTAAAATTCCGTTTATTCAAGTATCATCAATGTGGATGCTCTTACTATGATGCACACGGAAAGTAATAGGAAATGTAAAGTGAAAAGAAAGAGTAGTGGAGTTTAATTTATCCATCTTAATTAGACCAACTCCAACAAGCACCATTTATCACACCAAAATGGTGTATTTCCCAAAAAATTGCTCCAGCAGCCACTCCATTTTCAACACCATTACACCAAAATGGGGGAGAGGGGGAGAGTTCACACCAAATATGGCGCACACCAAATGTGAAATATTTGGTTATTGTATTTTAATTAGTTAAATGCGTGAAAATGCATATTAAAATGGTGTATTTTAGTTTGAATGTGTGAAATAATGTGTGAAATGTCAAAATATTAAATGAGGGGCTAATGTATAAATATATGATAATTACATACTTAAACAGAAGAATAGTAAAAAGTTAGTAAAAAGATTAAAAAGGGAATATTCCTTTTTGGTGTTTAAAATGGTGTAAACTGTTGGAGGTAAAATACTGTATGATGTGATGTTTACACCATTTTAGTGTAAAAAATGGTGTAAGACAGTTGGAGATGGCCGTAAGGTGTAATAATGATACGAGTATAACAATGCGGTAATTACGGAACAATTATTACTGTACCTTTACAGGATAGTGGCAAAGCAAAGGAAGTTTGCTAAAATCTCCGGTCTCTTTGTACTTGAGCCAATTCCAGGGACAATCTGAAACTCTGCATGCACATATAATAATACAATTAAGAAGTTAAAAACTTAAAACCCGCCTTGATTATTGTTAAGATCATGATTCAATTTTTCAAAATTCAATCTAATAACAGAAGAAGATGATCTCAATATATACTATGTTGTAGAAATATGGTGCAGGACAAATAGTGTGTGAAATATATTTATGGCTAACGAATAAGGACTTTATAAATCATTACTCAGAATGGGAAGGAGAAATAAGGGCAACCCAGTCGGTTGAAGAGGGAATCATCACTCCATCAACATGAACTGTAACTGTTTCTTCATCAGAAAGCTTCCGCTGCTGGTTGGGATTTGTATTGTCATTGGAGAGTTCTACCCACAGTTTAAGGTAACGGTTGGGGTCCTTGCACTCCAGCAGACGTTTTCTGTTCAGTAACCGGAACTCCGAGATTCCGGTGTGATTCTGTGACTTCATCGCCACCGCCGCCGCTCCTGCAACAATACTGTCATCTGTCGTGGCGGTTGAAGAATTCGCCGCCACAAAGAAGAAGAAGGGTTGGAGCAAAAACAATAATAGTCTCATGATCATATTGTCAAGGAGGTGGAGGAGCTAGTTAGCAGCTATAGAAGAAGATGTGAAAATTGGGAATTGAAATACCAGTAAGAATATAATCTTACTAGAAGTTCTTTTTACTTTTGATAATTAGCGATGAAGAAAATACGGAGCAACTAAAACGTTCTTTATGTCTGGCACTTAGCATTCTATATGTATAGGCATCCCGACCTACCTATCCTATGTATCACAAATATTCTTTGACCGTAAAACAAAGAAAAAAGTGAAATTGAAATTGATTGAATATGAGAATTAGTGAGTATAGTGTTCGAATTGAATTGGTGGAATACGTTGAATTGCGGAAAATTTATATGTAAAATATTCTTGTTTAATTTCAACATTTCATTTTTCACGTTTATCGACGCATAACTTTGACAGTCATTATATTTAAGGAAAAATTGAAAACAATAATCCCAACTATTGCCGGTCCGCTAATAATAATCTCAAGTATTGATTATTTTTGTATAATCCCAACTATATGGATCGTCCGCCAATAATGGTCCATGACCGCATATTACATGCTCTAACAAGTGAATTTTTAATAGAAATTAAGTTTAAAAATTAAAATTTGGGATTATTTATAGGGATTACCTGTTATATCTCTTTAGAAACTATGAGAATTTATTTACAGTCGGTCACGTCAGACCATTATTGACGGAAAGTCCCTAAAGTTGGGATTATTCTGAAATAATCGATAATTGGGATTATTATGAGCGAACCGCCAATAGTTGAGATTATTACAATCAATTTTTCCTATATTTAATTCTTTATTGGTATTTTTTTAAAACAGATTATGAAACTTTGTAATTAGATGAATTCAACAATATTTTAAAAATAATAATAATTCACATACATTAATAAATAAAATGTAGTCAAAGTAGAATACATAAATAATGTACAAATTTCAATGTTGTAACTAATACGATATGAAGGATACATATTAATAGATTAAAGAAAAAAATATGAAAGTGTTAAAATGATCTAATATCATAATCTCGTGCAATCAAAAGCTACGTGCTTAATAAATAGTTTCATAAACTTAAATTAGAGGTTATCCCTCCAAATTACAAACAAATAGTGTCTTTGAAGAATCGATTTGTACAACATGTCATTTGTTCAAGCTAGAAAAACGTACAATATATGGTGACAAATATATTCTAGCTGTCTGTGACGTTAAAGTTTCCTTATACATTGTGTTTTTTTCTTATCTAATGTAATTGTCTACAAAATATTAAAATTGTTATCATGTACTCCGCAATTAGGTGGCCAATTAAATGAAATGACGACAACAGGGTGTATATGTAGTAATTTATGTGTCGTATAAGCCAATTATATAATGTGTGGTTGAGTAATGAGTTACGTTGTGATTTGTGAACATGGATCTGATATCACTTTAACATATCGTTACTCGTTAGCATACCTCATTTCTTATTGGATTTCACTTGTAATTTTATAGTTGAGAGATTTATCTAAATAGTACTAAAACAATGTAGAATTGCAAAAATAGGACTACTATGATTTATTTGACAAAAATAGGACTAAAAAGAGGTAATTTGACAAAACTACCTTTAATTAAAAAAGCCTAATCGCGCTACTACTGTGATGCACACCAGCGACACACAATAGCCTCCATCTCTATTGTTGCTTCTAATGGTGCTGCCACCGTCCAACAATAGAACCATCGCCATCGTCAAATCAGACCATAACCTCCAGTCGCCACCCTCCAGCCGCCGCCCTCCAGCGGGAGACCAATCACTGTCAATCGTTAGTGCAGGACCTCCCCCTCCAGCAAAATCACAAAATAAGACCATAATTCCTATTTTATGAATTTCTTCTTCTTCTTCTTCTTCTTCTTCTTCTTCTTCTTGTTCTTGTTGTTGTTGTCAATTTTGATTGCTTTGAATCTCAAAATGCCCTGACTAATGATTTCAGAAAATGTCACTTTTTGAATAAGAGAATGTCATAATTATTGTGTATTTTTACAAGATGTCACTTTTATGTCATTACAATATTTGAAAATGCCATATTGAGAATGTCATGTTTCTATACAAAATTGTCATTATTGTGCCATAATGCATATTAAGTGGCATTCTTAAAACATGTCATTTGCATATGGAAAAACATGTCATTTTCAAGCTATTCTTAAATGTCATATAAAAATAAACATGTCAATTTTTAAAAAATGACATCTTGTGTACTGTGATGTTAAAATAATGTTGGCATTTTGGAGTAGAAAGATGACATTTACAGAAGGAGAAGAAGAACAAGAAGAAGAAGAAGGAGGAGAAGGAGATGGAGATGGAGGAGGAGGAGGAGAAGAAGAAGAAGAAAACAAAGAAGAAAAAGAAGAAGAAGAAGAAAACGAAGAAGAAAAAGAAGAAGAAGAAGAAGAAGAAGAAGAAGAGGAGGAGGAGGAGGAGGAGGAATACCTGATTTTGCTGGAGAAATCATTGAAGAGGTGGCTACCGGCGGCGAGCAGGCAGCTGCGATGATAGCAGGTCGAGTTGCGATCGATGTCGGTTGAGCTGCGTCCATGGCAGCTGAGTAGCAATTCAAGGGGAAGGTGTACTCGTAGGTCTCGCGATCGATGCAGAGGAATTGGAGAAAAGGAGATTTAGGGATTAAGGGCAAAAATGTAACCTGGAGTCCCATTTAGGTAATTTAAAACTTCAAGTCCTATTTTGGAGTTTTAGTCCCATTTAGGATAATTTCCTTTTATGGAAAATTTATCTATATATTACTAAAACTCATGGCAATTACCATAATATGACTAACCATGTTTTTTGATCATTGTATAACTAGAAATTCTAAGCCATCTAACTGATTGTGCAAATCATGGTTTATTTAAATCATTTCCTTATTTTTTTTAGGATGAATTAGTTGCTTGTTACAATTGAGATAATCGTGGAATTTAAGTATGAAAATAGGAAAAAAATTCATGAAGTCATCATATATTGGAAAGCATTTCTTCTTTTAGTCATCAAAGGGAAAAATATCTCTTCAAAATAATATACTTTTCATAAAAACTCATTAGGTTTTAATTTATTGTTTACAAATTCTTGATAACAATATAATTACATATTTTCATTCTTGAGTCAACCAAAAATCTCAATGATTTCAAAAATTCATCAACCAAAAACTTAGTTTACAGTTGGACAATGGACATAAAGATTACCCATTTGGAATTTGAAACTTAAAGTATAAAACTTTAATACTTTAATTTAGCATTCCAATGATCACATTTGACCTGAGCAAATTAAAGTGGGATAGATGAGTATGATACCATCTAAAATCTAAATTAACCGTAAGAAATGTACTAACTCTGTCATCAATGGCTGACTCGAGACTAACATATCGAAGAATTTTGATTGCACTGTGGTAAACAAATTTTGGATTCGGGCCATGTGCACCGGTGAACGTAGCTCAACAGCTAGCAAGGGAGTGCCACAATGGTTAGGTCCCGGGTTCGAATCCCGGTAACTACGATGAGGGGTTACTATGCTAAACATGCATATGGTCTCTGCAAGTACCGGGGACAGAGCCCCACTCTCTATCTGTCAGATTGTGATTATAGTCCAACTTACATCCTCTCAACGTACCGTCCGGTCGGAGTTGGGGGGCCATCAGGGATGGAGTGTCATCCTTTTTTTGGATTCGGGCCATGCGTATTGACTACTTCTCGGTTCATTTTTAGCCGATTATATATTTTTGTAGAACACACGAAAATAATGTTTATAAGAGGAAAACGGCAGAATTTAAAACATGAATTGTATGTAGAAAAAGTCTCTCTCAAGGGCTTCCGCCGATAGAGCCATTTTTTTCGTATTCATCTTAGACGAAGTACGGCCGCCGTTCTAGGTGGAATATTTTGGGCTCATCGCTGAGAGTTGGACGCGGCTGGTTGCCCGGCCAGTGTGCGGAGGTAGAGGGGTTGCGTTGGCACGGTCGAAACCTCCACTTCGCTGATACGTACGGTCGGCGGGGCGGTGGTTTTTGAGCAAGTTGAAGGTGGTTGGATGGATGATATTGTGGACCAATACAGGCAGATGGCTATTGGCATGGAGGAGAAAACAGTGAAATGAATTTCGACGATGAGGGAGGCCAAGATTTTCTTGCGGCGCCAACCGAGAAGAGGGAGGTATTCCCGATGGTTAGAGTCATCCTCACTAACCGGAAAATCAAATTTCAAGTCTTCAAGAAACTGTTGGCTTCTCTATGGCATCCAGGTAAAGGTGTATCCATTAAAGAAATAGGCGATAGAAGAAATCCATTTACTTTTTACCATATTGTGGATATGAATCGTGTTCTTGAGGATGGTCCTTGGTTGTTTGAAAGAAATTTGCTGCTCCTTAAGGAAGTTAGGCCAGATGATATACCCCTTAAAATGAAATTGTATGAGGCAGAGTTTTGGGTACAAGTTCATAATGTACCATATGAGTTCATGAATCTAGGAACTCATAATGTACCATAATCGGAGGGTTGGTAACTATATTGGTAAGTGATGGCTCATTTTATGCAAACGAGTATCAAGGGGTGTGTGTGTTGGGATATGGAAGTCCCGGATGTCGTCTCTCGGGACGGTGTATAAGGAAAGTAAGTGTGAATTCGACTTAAGTGTCTAAGATGTAAGCTAATCTATCGAGTAGTGTTTTGGTTTTAGAAAGATTAGCAAGCAACGAAAGAAATTAATAATCTCAAATAAAAGGGAAGCGGGGGGTCTCAAGGACCCATCATGTAATCAATTAGGAAAACGATTATCGAGGAGATCAATCAACAAACATGCATTTGAGGGTCTGATGAAAGTTCTCTCGCCACTCTCGTGGCCAAGAGATTGCCAAGGAAACTCAACGGCCACTCTCGTGGTCCATTGACTTTCCTAGGCTAAATAATTTAGCATAACCAACTAACGTGACCCCTATCTCTTCCCACTCTCGTGGTGAGGAGATAGTGTGTGTGTGTGTGTGTGAAGGTGTCTAGAGAAACCCTACGAGTCTCCTCGCGGGTTCTAACAAGTTTCTACACAAATTGTGGCCATCAATTAAGATAAAAAATCATTGAGGAATTTTCACAAACACTTGGCATGCATATTTTATTGATTGATTCCCCTAACGAATTTAAATCCCGAAGATCACATGATGG